GACTTGGGGAGAGACAGAAAGCACCAGGTAAGAAAACACATTCAGTCCAGAGAGTGAGACGTGTTTTTAAAGAAAATGAAACCGGGTAAGGTGATTAGGGGCACTGCAGGGGGGCAGCGGCATCGGCAAGGGTGGCTGGACTGCCCGAGAAGAGTACCTGTGAGCCACCCCAAGGGAAGAGCTGAGCAAGGTGGGATGAGCTTGGCGGAGTCCAGGGGCAGAAAGGAGGCTGGCGTGCATGGCAGCGCCCTCAGTGTGGGCCAGGTGGGTTGGGGCTGGATGACTCCGGGCTCTGGGGGTCGGGCTGCACTCTAGGATCATGGACACCTGTCCCCTGGGCAGGCTCCAGCACTGGAGTGAGAGAGACGCAGGTGCCCAGAGCCCAGCGCCCAGCCCCACCTGGCACCCTGCTGCTGGGCTAGGTGAGGAACACCCTCTTCCTGCGATGGAGCCCGGGGGATGGGCAGGGAGGACACCTGGGTTTATGACACAGAGATCTTTACAGAAACATGACTCAGCGACTGAAAGGCAGGCGAGCTGGCTTTCATACAAGGACCACTGCTCAGCCGCTGTACTCCTGTCTAGGTAAGCTGGGTATGCATGCCGTACAGCCTGTTTTCCCCTCAAACGTCTATCTAAAAAGCTTCCTGGAGATAAAGAACTGGATGGGAACAATCTAATGCTTCATTTAAAGGTGGTCAGATTCAGAAAACTCTCTCGGCCCAAACCCATGTTCCACCAAGTCTTACTCTCTGGTCTGCAAGTCAGCAGACATCTCCGAGACTTTTCCAATGCTGGGTTTTGTTGGAAATCCTCCTGAGAGTGAGGATGCTCAGATGTGGCCTTTGCCATGAGACTTCCTCCAATCAGAACCTTTTAAGAGACAACTTCTCTAGGCATTGGTGCCAACCCTGCCAGTGGTCTCTTTCCCCCGACCTCTGACCCTGGTGAGCTTACAGCCCATTGGGCTTTGACCGTTTTCACTGTTGTCAAAGGTACCCCTTTGAGGTACAGGTGGGAGATCTCATCTCCCAACTTGAGTGCAAACCCTGTCCGTGCAGGGACTGTCTGCCCGGACAGAACACCCACAGAGCTGAGCACAGAGGAAAGGACGCGGAGTTTCTGGGAATCCACGGGAAGCGAGGTTTCACGGGACACTGGGCTCCACACAGAAGGCAGGAGTGGCCGTGTGAAAACGGCCCGAAGGCCCTTGGGAACGTCTCCATTCCACTCAACCCAACTCAGCGAGGACTCACGGGCCCACGCCCACTTCCCTGGACTCAGTGGGGTTTATGACTTCGACCAACACGGTGCGGCACAGGTGACCCTATGTGACCTCCCCGGTGGTCATAAGGCTATGCAGCTTCTACCTTGTTTTCTGGACACTCACCCTAGGAACCCTGAGCTGCCACGTCAGAAGTCCCATCCTCTGCGGCCACCAGGCTGTGAAGAAACTAACCCACGTGGAGAGCCCATGGAAAGGGGTCTGCTTGCCAGTCCTGTCTGCGCGTTTCCCATCCAGGCAACAGGCAAGTGTGTGCACGGCCCTTCAGGTCACCTGGCCCCCGGCCAGGAGTGGTCGCCGCTGAGGGTTCCCAGCAGATGTTGTGGAGCAAGTGTGAACCATCTCCCTGTGCTCCATCGAGTTCCTGAGGCAGAGTCTCAGGGCCTCCTTCCCCTTCTTTTCCAAGTCAGCATCGCTGTGCCTGCATGAAGCTGCCTTTGCTTTGTGCACATGAACCCACTGTGGTCGCCCCGGGCCTCCTCATATCACCACTGCATTTCCGCACTCCACGCTCTGAGCCACAGCCAAACCCCAGGAGCCGGATCTAACTGTCACCGCACAAGTTTACTGGGACTCTGCAGCGATATTTTGTTTTAAATGTATTTTCCTTTCTGTTTGCTTGTGTTGGAGGTGCTACACTTTGAAAAGAAGATGAGCTTGTTTTGCCCTGGCTGGTGTGGCTCCGTGGGTTGAGTGTCATCCCATGTACCAAAACGATGCAGTTCGATTCCTGGTCAGGGTACATGCCTGGGTTGCAGGCTCACTCCCCAATAGAATCAATAAAAATATATTTTCCCCCAAAAAAAGAAAAAAAGAAAGGAGGTGTTGCAAGGTTTGCTCAATCAGAAAACAGCCCCTGGAGGGCGTAGGAAGAGAAGGAGCCACGGCAGAGCTGAGAGGGGCAGGCTCATGCTTGCTTCTCAAAGATGGAAGACAACATCACAGTTTTCTTAATCTGCAGTATGCTGGGCCAGAAATAGAAAATACATGAGACAGAGTCTAGCCTGCCCTTTTCTCTTCTTAGGAGATAACCCTAGACTCATTATGCACATCCAGAATGAATGGAAATTCATTTAAATTGGTTCAGACACCAGACTGTTCAAAACAATTACTTGCCCACAGTCAAACCGGGGCATCATTTTCTGTTTTGAATATATGTACACCATATCTTAATATCACAAAATCTTAGCATTAAGAGGTGCCTTAAAGAAATAAAGCCCCAGCCTTGGGCAGCTTGGCTCAGTCATTAGAGCGTCAGCCCGAGAAGGGTTCGATTCCTGGTCAAGGGCATGGACCTCGGTTAGAGGTTCAATACTCTGGCCTGGTCAGGGCTCAAGCGTGAAGCAAACAACAGATGTGTCTCTCTCACGTCAATGTTTTTCTCTCTCTCTCCACTCCCTTCCACTCTCTCTAAAAATAAATGGAAAAAATATCCTACTCCTCCGGTCAGGATTACAAAAAAAGAAAGAAAGAAAGCCCTACCCCTGGCTGGTGAGGCTCAGTTGGTCGGGCATCGTCGTGTGCATCAAAGGTTGCAGGTGTAATTCCTGGTCAGAGCACATGCCTGGGTTGCAGGCTCACTCCCCAATAGGAGGTGTGCAAGAGGCAGCCGATAGATGTTTCTCTCTCCCCTGCCCTCTTTCTTTAAAATCAATAAAAACATGTTTTTAAAATTTAGTTTAAAGAACAAGTAAATAAGGTGATTTTTAGAAGTTATCCAAAACCTAGCTAATTTTTCATTCTGAGGAGCCAGGGATCCTGTGGCTTGTCTCATCGCTTCCTGGTGGCTGTGGACCACCACTCAAGAGCCCATTGTGAGCGGGTGGGTGGGCTGGCTGTGGATCAGCCTCCACTCAGGCCTCCGTCCTTCTGGGGGTGCGGGGAGCTTTGTGCAGAAGTGAGAACCAGGGGCGCCCCTGGGCCTTGATTCAGGAACATGACTCTCATGCATTGTTGTTGGGGAGAGAAAGTAGAATAGAATCCTTATGGGGGCGGAAACCGGCCCCAGAGTTACAAAAGCAAAAATACAGAAAGACAAATGCATATTGCTGCAATGTTTTTAATATGAAAGGACTGGGAACAACGCCAATGTCAATCAAGGGTGGCTGGTTGGATAAACACTGTCGTTACAACAGAGCACTTTATAGGAGAATGTTCTGTCTGGTGCTATGAAGTGTTAATATACTCCATATATATGGTTAAGGGGAAGAGTAGGACCAAGGAAAGTGTAAAGCAGCATGCTGTCCTTCACCATCTGCTTACAGTGTTTTAAGTGGAGGGGTAAAATGGGAAAAGATATTGATTATCTCTGGCAGAAAAGGGTACTAGGATGGAGGGAATATAAAATACGGACTTCTCTGAATACAGCACATGTTGTGGATTGGACTTTGGAACCATGTAAATAGTTTACCTAATTATAAAAAAATTAAAATTAAAAATCAGTCTCTAAAAATTTAAGCAAAACCAAGTGAATAACCATAACCCTAATTCAAATTTGGGGTATAACCACAGAGAGAGGAACTGTTCCGAGTTATTTTAAAATCGTAACTTGACTGGACATCCCTAACGGCATAGACCCTAGGACAATAAGAATTGCAAAAGAAGACTTTAACTGTTTTCAGTAATTATTTTTTGTGATACTTTTGGCATTGTCATTCTGAGGATTTAAGACGATGTGTAATTATTTTGGTAATTTTGAGAAGGTTTTTTTAAATGAGAGAAAAAAGAGCAGGTATAAGGTCAATGAAGTTACATTAAAAATGCTCCAGTCTTGACTTGAATTGGGAATACCAATATAAACTCATGTAGTGTTTTTCTCTTAAGAAACACACCTAAGAGTACATATTTCCTAGTTCTGTCCACAAAACCAAGAAACAATGACCAAACCACTACCACTGAGCACCCCTAGCACCAGAGTTTGATCTCTAATTATCACTCCCCACTGAAAGGAACCAGAGTCCCAGGGGAGATGGATGACTTCAGGGCCGTGGCACAGAATATACTAGATGAGCTTGAAACATCTTGTCAAGATCACTACAAAACTATCAAAGAGCACCAGGGTCGTGTCACAAGGAATCAGCCAACTTGAAGCAGTTCCCAAGCCAGAGCAGCACCATCTGAGCAACAGGAAGACTGAAACTGCAATGCACTGAAGCCATGAGCTTATCACCTACTCAGCACACAAGACACTTCTCACTTTCTCCGCCTAGGACACTCACAAAGAAGAAACAGTCAAGGAATTTGCCTGCCTTTCCTATACAGACCAAACCTCAGGATAACTAAATAATTGATGAAAAGAGGTTTCTCTTTACAAAGTGTGCCAGCTAGCAATAAAAAATAAACAACAGCACCAGAGTATTATTTGCAATGCCTAATGGAGTCATGGATCTGTCAATAAACATCAATGGCTGCTAACATCAGGAAAGAAGAGTCAGCAAGAGTTTCCATAGCTCCCACTGGAAGTAATCTTGCAAAACTAAAAAAGTAATCTTACAAAACTAAACCTAACAGGACCCTGATTAAGTCTCTCTCTATAAACATCTCTCTATATATAAAAGCCTAAGCAACCGTCATGACTGGTCGACCATAGACGCTCAACACAGGAGCTGCCCCCTGGTGGTCAGTGTGCTCCCACACTGCCAGCCAACCTTTTGTGGTCCCTCCCTCTCCCCCCCATCCCTGGCCGTTTATGCACCAGGCCTCTAGTTGATATATAAAAAACAGGACAGAGGAACACGTTAACAGACGTAACAGAGATGCAACCAAGAAAACCCAGACTGTGAGAAATTCTACAGGACAAATGACCCAGTCCACTGTCTTCTAATAGGCCTCCAGGTTCTCCAAACATATGCTAAGATGTACAGATGCAAGGAGACTGAGGAGGCATATCAACAAATTATAAATCATGGACCCAATTCAAATAAACAGAAAATCATGGGCCATTCAGAAATATTTGAAGGCATTAAGGAAGTATTGCTAACTTTTAGGTATGACTGGAATTGAAGTTGTGCTTTGTTAAAAGTACGTAGGGTTTAGAAAGACATGCTGGAACACTTACAGATGAAATGCTACGAGTGATGTCCAGGGTCTGCCTCAGAATCATCATTGGGGGGTAGGCGTGAGAGTAGAGATGGAAGAGACTGACTGTGTGTTAATCACTGAGGCTGGTGATTCGGACATGGACTCATGACACGAGTCTCTCTGCTTCTGTACGCGTTGGCAACTGTGCATGATACAAGGTTTAAAAACCCCACTGCCAAATACTAGGAAACGACGTCTCTTGGAAAGGGGTACAAATTATTGCTGGAACTGTTAGCTACTCTGGCCTGGCACAGGTTGTGAAGGGACAAAGGAGAGTTGGCTTCCACAGAGAACGTGAGGTGAGAGAGAAGAGAGAACGTCAGGCATTATCCCAGGAAGGCCCAGGCATGATCCACAGGAGGGCCCGAGCAGCCGGCACGCTATGTGGTTCTGCGAGGGCAGATCTCGGGATGCAAACCACTGCTTTAGACCGGCCTGTGTGGCATCCAAGTCATCAGGTCATCGTCACACAGTGCAGGTCGGGAGCATCCAGTCCTGGGGAGCCTCCACGCGCCTCACCTGCACCCACCCCTGCCCCGGCAAGGAACAGAAGCACACCGCGGTGACACCTCAATTTCAGGAATGCGGTCAGGCCCTTGGGCTCTCCCACCTGGTGTGCCGCCCAGGGGCCTGAGTGACATGCAGGCTTCTGACCTGTCACAGCACCACTTGGAAAATACAAGGCTTGGGTAACAGTTTCAATAGTTCTTGTAACAACCTGGGAAGCAGATCTGCAGGCCCTGGCTCTGCGGTGGCAGAGATGACAGCTAAACCCACGGGAGGAGAAAAACATCACTCACTCTTCGTCTGACAAATGAAGACAAGGATAGTGTCCCAGAAACATCCTGATGTGGGATGGACCACTCACCTGGCAACATACGTCCTCTGGCTCCATCTCAGACCAAGGCAAATACAAAGTGTTTTTGAATAACGCACCTGTGATGAAATCTCACCTAGATTAATGTGTATTTGGATATTGTAACCTCCTCAGAGCTCAGCCAACTTCTAAGTTTTAACCTGAATGGTGTCTCCCACCCTATCCTGCCCCACGCCCCGTCCCCTAGCCTGTCACTGGAGGAATCTCCCCCTGACTCTTCCATCAGAAGCAGAAGGCCTGGGATCAATGGAATTCAAGCACCTTCTTAAACTCCCCCCAGCCAAGTGTTGCTGACCCATCTCCCATGTGGCCAGGCCAGCTTTCCCCTGGGGGAGCAACCCCACATTCACCTGTGTGTTCTTTCTAAATCATTCATCTTAGTGGGTGCGACCAGATAGAAAGAGAGCTAGAGGTTCCCTCCTACAAGGAACGGGGCCAGCTCATGTTCAGGGGCAGGCCAGGTGGGCAGGGAGAAGCAAAAGGCTTTACTTACTCAGTTAGAAAACCAGGTTATGTTTTGAGATACGATTTCTCAAAAGGAATTAATTCAGGCAGAATCTACTCTTTAATGGTGGTCTCTTGGTCTAGAAGAATCAGTGTGGGGGTCCCGGGCCCTGCATCCCTCTCTGGTGAGAAAGCTGGCAGGCATGTCACAGAGGGGACACGGACAACAGCAGAACACTGGGTGGTGGCCAAGGACCCACCCCGTGTCACGCACACAGGGCACAGTTTGACCCTCAGTGTGACTGTCATAATTCAGGACTCGCAACCACCTCAGCAGACATGAGTCTCCCCTCCCCAGCTAGTTCAGACCCACAGTGCCATTCACACAGCATTTTCAAAAGCTGCCCATTCCCCTGGAAGAGAGATTTCAGAAAATTAGTGCATAATCAAAGGGAACAACCTTAAAGCAGAAAACAGAAGCGATGGCAGCAGTTTGGGTTTTGTGGTTGCCCTTCTGTGCGACTCTGTGGGCAGCGTGCAGCGCTGCCCGGGACATAGGCAGGTGAGCAGGTGGGCAGTGGGGCCAGTGTCTCGCAGTCATGCCCACAGCCGAGGCTTTGAAGAGACGTGAGCCCAGATCTCCACAGCCCACGCTCAAGCACCCTTAGAAGTCGTATGGGGACACAAAGATGGTGACCTTGGACACGTGGTTAGCCTGGAAGGAGCGGTCTAGGTATTCTGACATGTCAACGTCCACCTCCAGTGTCTGCGGCCCCTCCAGGGGCTGGACGAGGATCAGCTCCCCTGTCTGGCGGTCTGCGCGCTGCATCACGAAGTGGCCACGGCTGTTCCCACCAACGATGCCAAACCGCAGGCTGTTGGGTCCAGGTCGGCCGGGCACCGAGGCCATGGCCATGCGCTCACATTGACTGGATCAGAGAGGCAAGATGTAGGCAGTCAGCCTCGGGGAGACGCAGAGGGGCTGCCCTGGCCTGGCCTGGCCTGGCCCCTGACTGCCCTCTTGCCGAGGCCATTGGAGTGACCTCTCCCAGCCACTGGGCCCCTCACCACAGGTGCCTAGAGCTACAGGCAAGTGAGTGTGGCTGGTGTCAAGGTGGCCAAGGAAGAGGCACTCCCCTTACCCACTTGTGTATGCATGTGTGTGTTCCTGTGTGTATGCACGTGCATGTTCCTGTGTGTATGCATGTGTGTGTTCCTGTGTGTATGCATGTGCACGTTCCTGTGTGTATGTGTTCCTATGTGTGTCCCTGTGTATGTATGCATGTTCCTGTGTGTGCGCATGTGTGTTCCTGTGTGTATGCATGTTCCTGCGTGTGCATGCATGTGTGTTCATGTGTGTGCGTGCATGTGCATGTTCCTGTGTGCATGCATGTGTGTGTTCCTGTGTGTGCGTGCATGTGCACGTTCCTGTGTGTATGCATGTGTGTGTTCCTGTGTGTATGCATGTTCCCGTGTGTGTATGTGTGTTCCCGTGCGTGTATGCATGTGCATGCTCCTGTGTGTATGTGTGTGTTCCTATGTGTGTATGCATGTGTGTTCCTGTGTGTATGCATGTTCCGGTGTGTGCGCATGTGTGTTCCTGTTTGTATGCATGTGCATGTTCCTGCGTGTGTATGCATGTGTGTTCCTGTGTGTGCGTGGCCAAGGAAGAGGCACTCCCCTTACCCACTTGTGTATGCATGTGAGTGTTCCTGTGTGTATGCACGTGCATGTTCCTGTGTGTATGCATGTGTGTGTTCCTGTGTGTGTATGCATGTGTATTCCTGTGTGTGCATGTGCGTGTTCCTGTGTGTGCATGTGTGTTCCTGTGTGTATGCATGTTCCTGTGTGCATCTGTGTGCATCTCTGTGTGTGTTCCTGTGTGTATGCATGTGTGTTCCTGTGTGACCTGTGTGCATGTGTGTGTGCGTGTTCCTGTGTGTATGCATGTGTGTGCATGTTCCTGTGTATGTGCTTGTGTGTTTATGCATGTGTGTGTTCCTGTGCATGTGCATGTGTGTGCATGTGGGGGGTGTGCGTGGATGCTATTACTATAGCTGTTCCAGAAAAATAAAGCAA